GACAGAAGGAGGATATAATTAGCATTTATGGGAAGTACAATGTAAGTTCCAAATTAGTCTTAAATGAGGAATTCACCCAGCCCCTGATCTGTAGTCAATTCTGGAAAGCATCATGCATCTCTGCTGAGGCCAAGCAAGCCTCATTGATGTTTTTGGCTGACTGCTTTTTTTCTAACATTAAATTTACCAGAGCACTCCAGATTGGATATGGGCAATTATAAGGGAGGGTGTACGTTATTGCAAATTTTAATCATTTCGTGAGCCATTTTGCTTGCAGTGTAATCCCACAAGATCAACATATTCTGCATAAGAAACCCAAATGGGTTTTGGCTGAGAGCAGCTCTCCAGTTATTTTATAACCTATTCCTGCTTAACTTCCAGACTTTTCCATTCGTGGCGAGGCCCTGCCAAATCAGGGCCTCAAGGGGTTGTTGGCTCCCCAAAGTCAAGGCTACCTTACTCAAGTGGATAGTAATACCAGTGGTTAGAATAGTGATCAGATTTCTTCTCAGCAATATTGCTGCTACTTATGGCAGACCCTGCCTCTACTCTCCAACACTTTCACTATGGGTAAAGAAAGTAATGTGCCAGAACTGTTTCAAGAATTTTTCTTATCTCCTATGCTTTTTGGACTATTTCAACAGAGATGGAAAAACAGTAACAACCTGATGACTTTGGGAACTTTTCTTCTTTGGGGCTTCAGGGAAATTCACCCATGTTGTTGTGTAAGCCAAACTCACATTCATAATTTAACATCATTTTGCCCAGCCATTTGAAATGCCATGATGCTCCTTTAGGTGAAAACATCTAAGTAGCTTCATTTTCACCAGCAATCTTTTTACTTGTGAAGAAAAAATAAAAATAATTTACTTTGATTGTATACTCAAGAAGCGCCTTCTCTCAAGCCTCTTTTCTTCTCTTACATATAATGATTTTTCCTTTTTAGATTTTTTAGATGAGAATCAAAGATTCTCAGACTTGGAAGGAATGTTTAAAACATAATTTAATACCAATACCCACTGTTTAATGAAACCTTTCGACAGTGTCTTCCAGGAGGTTTTACAGCTGTTCTCTAGGGCAAAAGAGATGAAGGAAAAATAAAAAGGGCAATCCGCTGTAAGTGGCATATAAACTTATAACTAAAATAAACCAGAGGATCTAGATGTGGTTTTCCTACTCACAAGCTCTAAGTCTTTTATCCATCTTGTTTAATTACACTAGGAAGAATTTGTGAAGCAGAGACTCAATTTTAACTTTGAACTATTGAGAATATGGCCAAACAGGGAGTAAAGCAACACTTCTGAAACAATTAATTACGAGAATTTGGATCACAGGGTCCCGACCTTTTCATTTCAATGATCTGAAAAGCTAAAAATATTTTTAAAGGTCTGCTTGAACAGAATTATAGTAAATTTTAAACACAGTTACATAAGATAAATGATCTAGTATAAACTATGGGTTCAGAGGTTAGTTTCTGTAATAAAAAATGTATAGTTTGAACTCTAACTTCTCATTAATTAGCTATATGACCTTGAGAAGTCACTTAACATTTTAAAGCTTTGGTTTACTCAGCTGTAAAAAAGAGATACTATTACCTTCTTTACCAGGCTATTAAGAGGATTAAACGAGCTAATTCACATGAAGCATGTTTTCAGTATATGGCATATATTTTAAGTATCTAATAAATGTTAGCTTCATCATTATCCACTCATTTAATAAAAACATAGAGCTTTTTTATGGGAGCATAGTTGCCTTACACTGCTGGGTCAGTTCCTACCGTACAGCAAAGTGAATCAGCCATAGATACACATACATCCCTCTTTGTCAGGATTCTTTCCCATTTAGGTCACCAGAGAGCATGAATATAGTTCCCTGTGCTATATATACAGTAGGGTCTCATTAATTATCTGTTTCATACATAGTGTGTATATATATATATATATATATATATATATATATATATATATGTCAATCCAAGCCTCCCAATTCATCCCACCCTTCCCTCCTGCTTTGGTATACCCATAAATTTTTTTCTAGGATTTATTTATCTTATAGCTAGAAGTTTGTACCTTTTAAAAAATACATCTATTTACTTATTTGACTGTACTGGGTCTTAGTTGTGTCATGTGGGATCTTTAGTTATCACAAGTGGGATCTAGTTCCCTGACCAGGGATCAAACCTCAGTCCTTCTGCATTGGGAGCTTCGAGTCTTAGCCAATGAATCACCAGGGAAGTCCCAGAAGTTTGTCCCTTTTGACTTTCTTCACCCATTTCATCTCCCACTTTGGCAACCTACCAGTCTGGTTTTGGCCGCCTACCAATCTGTCTGGTTTGTTTTTCTTCGNCCTAAAGGAGATCAGTCCTGGGTGTTCATTGGAAGGACTGATGAAACTCCAATACTTTGGCCACCTCATGCGAAGAGTTGACTCATTTGAAAAGACCCTGATGCTGGGAGGGATTGGGGGCAGGAGCAGAAGGGGATGACACAGGACAAGATGGTTGGATGGCATCACCAATGGACATGGGCTTGGGTGGACTCCAGGAGTTGGTGATGGACAGAGAGGTCTAGCATGCTGCAGTTCATGGGGTCACAAAGAGTCAGACACAACTGAGTGACTGAACTGAACTGAACTGAACTGAACAACTTCCCAGTTCATTCTACCTCCACCCCCCCACAAATCCTCCTTGGTATCCATGTGTTTTCCACATATGTGTCTCTATTTCTGCTTTGCAATGAAGATAATCTATACTCTATACCATTTTTAAAAACTCTCCACATATGTGTTAATGTACAATATTTGTTTTTCTCTTTCTGACTTACTTTACACTATTTGGCAACCTCCAGGTCCATTCAAAACTCTGCCTATTTAAACTTAAATACTTTTGCACAGCAAATGGAAACCACAAACACAACGAAAAGACAACCCTCAGAATCAGAGAAAATATTTGCAAATGGAACACCTGACAAAGGATTAATCTCCAAAATATACAAACAGTGCATGTAGTTCAGTATCAAAATAACAACTCAATCAATAGTGGACTGGAGACCTAAACAGATATTTCTCCATAGAAGACATAGAGATGGCCAACAAGCACAGGAAAATATGCTCAAAATCGCTAATTATTAGAGAAACGCAAATCAAAACTACAATGAGATATCACATCACACCAGTCAGAATCAGTTCAGTTCAGTTCAGTTCAGTCACTCAGTTGTCTCCAACTCTTTGNTGGAGCCCAAAAAAATAAAGTCAGCCACTGTTTCCACTGTTTCCCCATCTATTTGCCATGAAGTGATGGGACCAGATGCCATGATCTTAGTTTTCTGAATGTTGAGCTTAGAATAGCCATCATCAAAAAAATCTACAAACAATAAATGCTGGAGAAGATGTGGAGAAAAGGGAATCATCTTGCATTGTTGGCAGGAATGTAAAAGATACAGCCGCTATGGAGAACAGCACAGAAATTACTTAAAAAACTAAAACTAGAGCTACCATATGACTCAGCAATCCTACTCCTTGGCATATACCCAGAGAAAACCATAATTCAAACAGATACATGCACCCGTGTTCATTGCAGCACTATTTACAATAATCAAGATATGGAAGCAACCTAAATGTCCATAAATAGAGGAACAGATAAGTAATAAGCTGTGGTACATATATAGAATGGAATATTACTCAGACATGAAAAGGAAGGAAAACCATAGAACTTAGATGAATCACTACTTTAAAAAAAAAAAATGTTTCATAGTCAAATATTCACACAGTGCTATTTTATACGAAGGGTTAATAATTTGGGGGATGGGGACAGAATTTTCATGCTATAAGTAGCTTATAAGGAAGTTTTATATTGCTAGAATGATTTTAACAAATCAATATGGATTATATCATGAGATAACTGAATAATACAATTATTCTAATTAATTGATCATGCCCTCCATGGATTTTAGAAAGGACTGTCAGCATTTTACTGACAAGTTAGAATCATGAATCATTTGACAAAATATAAAGTTATTTTTTATTATAAACTTGGTTACTTCTGTGTATGTCTGAATACACAGAAAATACACTAAAGATATTACTCAACATTATATCTCATGGGATTTTAAATTAATCCTCTTGAATATGTCCAGACAAGATTAAAAAAAAAAAAGAAACTGCTATTGTGAAATAATACCCTAAGTTAACTAGTCTCTAATTTTATGTTACTTTTTATAAAATATTATTATCTTCTAGTCCCCAATTATCCAATTCTAAGCAATAGTCAACTTTCCCTTCAGAGCAAAAAGCAAAATAAGACAGAACTTTCATCTGCTGATTCTACAAAGAATTTAAATTCTGCCAGTCTAGGATATCCATTGGGAGTAATTAGAAAATCAAAGAATAAAACTATTTCTCACTTCTCCCCAGAAATCGGTCACTGCAAGGCAAAATACATCACCATCTGAAGAGCATTCCTTTTATACTGACCCTGAGATTTGAAAACTCCACTAGGTACCTCATTACAATGATTCCAAACTTAACCATTAGAAAACTATTTATTGATCCAGAAATTAGGGAGGTCAAAAGAATTAGTTTCATAAAAATGAAAGAATATTAACTAGGAAATGTTTATTGAGTCATAAATAAATTCTCTTTCTTTTCAAGATTTACTCAGATTACTATCCATCAGAAGAATGAGGGATTGGGGTCACCTCCCCAGCATTTAACATGCATCCTCCAGCAGGGGTTGGGGGCAGTTCACATTGCTGCCAGTATCTCATCAAGGAATAAACAGTGTTTCATTATTAGGTAACACGACAGTTGTTGGCATTACAGATGTTACTCTGAGTGAAACAAAATCTGCTATGAAAAAATGAATTAGGGAGAAAATGAGGAAAAATGTACTATGCAAAACTGTGCCCTCTCAATCCTACAACCACTTAAAGAGGTCACTGCACATGCTCCATGCTCTATGAATTCAGTGGTCTTTTATTTTCACAGACTGACTGTCCACTTACCCTAGTTGTTTTCACTTTATTCCCAGAGGAACAGCTCCATCCTTTCCGATCTGGAAGAACTTTACATTCCTCTCCCTCAAGACACGGTTGCATATGGCACCACCATTTCTGTTCCACTATGGAAGCTATAGGAGATTTAAAAAAAAAGCAATTCAAGATTTTCTATTTGGGCTTGTTAATTCCCTGGGTGTGCATGCTTTTTTTTGTTGTTGTTTTTTGTCCAAGTGGAATACATTTTTATAGATTTTCTGACTAAAAATATTTTTAATTTTTTAAAATTTTATTGTGATAAGAATACTTAAAACTTTAAGAGGGTAGATCTCATGTTCAGTGTATAATACAGTATTGTTAATGATAGGCAGATTTTTGAAGGGTTTTTCATACAAACACATAGGTTTCATGGAAATTAGCATATTAGAAACAAATTATGTGGATGTATTCATGTGCCTATTTACATAAACATATAAGAAATTGAGTCCATGACCAGTTTAGAATCAATATTTTAGAATCAATGTAATATGTCCCCCAAGTAGACTAAAATCAGGAAGGCATTCAAATTGATGTCTTTTTTTTTTTTAACTATGGGCAGTAATAATCATTGCAAAGAATGCACCATGAAAATATATGAGCACTTAACAAAATATTATTTATGATCACATCAATTATACAGATCCACATAAATATTTATATCCTACTAGGTGAATCCTCCAAGAAAGAAATTAACATTTTGATGAATCTCTATAAAAATATTTCATGTGACTTCTATCCACAACTAAACATTCATTCATATGTATGATGTTTATTTTTTCATTCTTAAGAACCACCCATGGGTTTAAGGACCCCAAACTATTTAATCATCTATTTTTGTATTGCCTTTGCCAATCAATTTACACACACAAACACACACACTGGCCCTCCACTGGCAAATCAGTATTTCATGGTATCAAAGTAAGAAGTACATGGACTTCTCGGAACCTCATTATAGTGCCTTTTCCTTCAAGACTGCGTAAGTCCTTAGATCTTCTTTCAGTGGATTTTAAATTTCAGAATGCTCTTCAAATGATCTTGTGTCAACCATACGATTGATGGTGTGGTCCCCCGGGATGAACCCCAGAATTGAGAATCACAGTGAAATTCCAGTTCTGTGCGGTCCCCAGTCACACTATCACAAGAGCAATGGAAGAAGCCTCACCATCCACACAAGATGGAGCAGCTCGTGTGGTACCTGCCACCTGCCCAGGGAAGCAGGAGCACTTGACTGTTTGTGACCGTTCTTCTATCTTGTTCTTATTACAGCATCTGTGGAGTGCCACCACTTCGCAAGTGCCCGTTTTAACATGGTGAGCTGCACACAGAAAAACAAAAGATGAAATAACAGTGAGAAAGCTTTGGATACTTTCCCCCCTTTTTAATTAGAAGTGCATTAAATATAGCTCTATAAAGGATTCGCCATGCATGAAACTAGAAATACAATGATGCTGACTCCATAATGCAGATTTGAGTTCTTTACTAAATGTGGTAGGACCATTTCTATCAGTAAATGCTTGGTAAAGCAGGAACAATTAGTGGCTAGATTAGAATGAGCTGTTAGAACAGTCTGAAATATAGAGGCAATATGTGGTGCCATCAAAACCATATTTATTTGCATGTGGCTTTTTTTTCACACCTTTTGTTCAACATGTTGATCAAAGTAGGGTTACTCCATGGACAAAGTGCCCTCTACTGGGGCTGAGACGAGCCTTATTCTCAAAGTGGGTGGGTTGATAAAGGCGATAGTCTTTAGGTTATACTCTCTAGGGTTGAGGCTAAGAGTCAGGAAGGGAATTTCTTTTCAGAAATTAGGAAAGCAGAGGGTGGGAACCCACCTCCTCAGGATTCTTCTGCTCAGTTTTCTTGGAAATGAACTAACTGGGTGATTTTTGAAATTGCTACCATTTTCCTGAAAGTTCTATCCAGTTTCAGGACCCACAGATCATTCCTGTCAATTTTGCCTGAGGGAACAACTGCCACCCAATGCAACAACCACAGTCAGAACATGGATGGACTTACACCCACCCTGGAAAAACCCAGTCCAGTAAGCTGTGAGCCTCTATTAGCCATTTGGTTAGCCTCACAGTAAGGCTACCCAGCTGTTTAGGTGATTGAAATTTTTGTACCCCACTTATCACATTAGGATAGGATTCAAGTTTGCCTTCATTGTTTCTTTTTCCCCAGCATTCCTTCTCCAAAGTATTAACCCTACTGTGAAATGATAAACCAAAAGTTCCATCTGCTAAAAACAGCCTAAAATCAAACATTTGTTGAAATGTTATATTTTCAGAAATTTTAAAACATGTGATTGCTATAAAAAAGATTTAAATAGAAAAGTAGGACATCTGAAGCTATTTAATGTTATAAACATATTAAGACCCATTTTGCAAATGAGGTTAGGACAGCGTGCATTTATATTAATCTTCCCCTTAGAGATGGGGAACCAGTGAGCAGGAACTCAGGTTAGATTGTTTATATTTTTCTTGTGAGAACAGATCACACTCATTGTCCATCTCCTTCCCTATGTGAGACCAAGGGGCTCAGGTGTAGCTTTGACGCATAATCCTCAAAAGAATTTGGAAGAAGCAGGTACCATTTCCAATGTCACGAAGAACAGGCCTCCGTGTCCATCACCGACTCCCGGAGTCCACCCAAACCCGTGTCCATTGAGTCCATGATGCCATCCAACCATCTCATCCTCTGTCGTCCCCTTCTCCTCCTGCCCTCAATCTTTCTCAGCATCAGGGTCTTTTCCAATGCGTCAGCTCTTCGCATCAGGTGGCCAAAGTATTGGAGTTTCAGCTTCAACATCAGCCCTTCCAATGATCAGTCTTTCCATGGTAGTATAAGTTAGTCCTAACTTCCCAATTCATCCCACCTTTTCCTTCCCCTCCTGGGTACACACGTCTGTTCTCTATTTCGGTATCTCTGTTCCTGATATGCAAATAGGTTCATCTGTACCATTTTTATAGTTTCCACATATGTATGTTAATAAACGATATTTATTTTTCTCTTTCTGACTTACTTCACTCTGTATGACGGACTCTAACTGAGTTACTACCACATAACAGGGATAGTTCTGAGTAATGGGGATGCAACAATGCACAAGATGGATAGAGACCTGCCCTCAAAAAGCTCATATGCCTGTGGAGAAAGTGAATAATCCTTAGGGACTAAAGATTAAGTAAAACCACAGTAGATTTTCTAGCTCCTTGAAAGAGATGCAGTAGGGCAATGCGACGGAGAGCAACCAAACAAGGAGGGAAGGCAGACTTGTACGAGGGTCTCAGGGAGGACCTCTCTGAGGAGGTAACCTGAATGATGACCTGAGCGATGAGAAAGGAAGCCTCCAGGATGAAGAGCTAAGAAAGAAAACTGCTCTTTAGAGAAAAGACTGAAGAAAGCAGGAGTGGAAACAGTGATACCAATCATGAAGGGGCTACCAGAGTTCAGGACATGAAAGGTTGTGATGGAGTACCAGATGAGGGGCATTTCAGGGTAGTTGGTTTGAATGGATTGAATGTGAACTGTGAGGGAAAGAGGAGTTAAAGATTACTCCTAAGATTGTCCTGAGGAATTAAAAGTTGATGGTTCTGGAAGATAGAGGAGGCCTGGGAAAGAGGTGTTTGTCAAGAGTTGGGTTGGGTCAGAATTACTGTGCTTCTGTTTCGTCTTTGTTAAGTCTGAGAGTCTTACAAGACACCGGAGCAGAGGCGTAAACCAGGCAGCATCATTTACACAGTGGGGTTCAGGAAAGAGATCTGGACTACAGATACAACTTAAGAGAGTTAGGTCAATAGGTGATATTTAGTCATACACTGACTAATTACCACGGAAAGACCACTCATAGAGAAGCAGAGAAATAATAGTCCAGAACCTAATTCTAGAATTGGGGAGCAGAACATGAAGTAAGAGGAAAAGAACATGAGACAAAGGCATGAGACAAAGGAAAGTCAAAGAATAAACTGTTTCAAGAAACACAGATTGGCCAGTTATGTCAGATGCTGCTGAAAGCTTTAATAAACAAAGCAAAATAATTGTCTACCAAAACAGTAATATGGTGCAGCAGTTCAAACAGAGCCTCCAATACCAGAGTGCTCGTGTGCGAAGTCACTTCAGTCATGTCCAACTCTTTGAGACCCTATGGACTATAGCCCACCAGGCTCCTTTGTCCGTGGGATTCTCCAGGCAAGAAGTAGCTGGGTTCACATCTAAGCTCCTCTAAATAGCGGTGTGACCTTGCGCAAGTCAACAATTATCTCTGATTAGCATTTTTCATGTCTAAAAGATGAATATTAATAGCACCATCTTCATATGACTGGTTAGAGGATTAAGTGAGTTAATATGTACAAAGTATTTAGAGCATCCCCTGCCTCATAGCAGGCACTCTGTATTAGCTATTATTAGCACGTGATCCAGATGAAAATCATTTGAATGGCATGATGGAGATAAAAGCATGATTAAAGTAAGTTTATTAGAGAATGAGATGCAAAAGTGTAGACAATTATAAAAATTTCTTTCAAGGAGTTTTTCTGTAAAGGGAAAAAGGAAATGAAACAGTAGTTGGAATGAGTCTAAGGGTCAGGGAAATTTTTTAAATGGATGCCATAAAAGCATGCTTGCTTGCTGGAATAATCTAGTAGAAAGAGAAAATGACAATATAGGACAGAAAGTGGGTAATTTAAAAAAGACTGTTCTTGAAAGGGAAAAAAATGAACTGAGATTCAGGGCATGTGGTGGGGTTGGTGTCAGATTCATGTGGGGATATTTAATCCATTTTAACAAGAGTGAAGGTGGGATGCATGAATCTAGTCAGGTAGGTGTGAGCCGTTTAGGTGATGAGAAGATAATGCAGTTTCATATCTGATGTCATCTCATTTGCCATGAAATATGAGAGATGTTTGAGAAGAAAAAAAGAATATGAAATATGTATTTCAAAGAGGAAGAATAAAGCTACTGGGAAGGAGTAGCAGGAATGCCTGGCAGGGAGTTGACTGATGCACACGGCAAATGTCAGAGGACACAGTGGAATGAATGGAGGGGTGGGATCACAGCACAAAACGGAAACAAACGTCTGTGGGACGACAGGCTATTTAGGATGCTGGGACCTCCAATAGGGATGATGGGGTGTGTCCTGCAAGTCTCTGAATGGAAGCTAGAGACAAGAGATCATTAGGGTTTCTTCAGATAGTGATGCTATTAGGCAGAGCACCGAGCTGAGACAGCGTCAGGGAGAGCTGGATGCTGACTCCGTTCTCCCTCAGAACCACAGGTGACAGGCGCACACGGGGAGGCTCCATGGGTCCCCACCCTGAGAAGAGAAGCACCACTTCAGTGTCACCCACTAGGGCCATTTCATCATCTTTGTCATACGGAGATTTTATCATAAGCTGGAAAAGAGTTGGTGAAAAATCTGCATCTGGTTTCCCCTTCCCAATGTCAAAATTCTTTTCTACTTTGCCTGACAAGAAACACTGTACTTCTCCACCCTGTTAATTACATTTAGACGTGGTGATGGAACATGCTTTGGCCAATGAAATGGAAGCTAGACTTATGAGCAAAAGCAAACGATATCAGTCTGTGAAGACATTTTAATACTATTCATTCACCAGATTTCTCCCCACCAGCCAGAGCAACAGATTATACAGAAATTACTTAGCGACTGAGCACAAGAAAGGGATAATTAAATTTTTAAAAGTAGGATAGATGGTAGGTAGGTAGGTTGATGATGAAGACTATATCAACCTCAGTCCCCAAGTGAAAAGGCATGAAAGAGAGTCCCCACCAACCACATGGACATAAGAGTGAGAAATAAACCATGAAGTCTTACAAGCCTCTAAAACTTGATGGCTCGTTAATATCACAAAACAGCCCACCCTGACGGCACAGTAGTACTTTCTACTGCTTCCTAGGTTGTTCAACGGGATATGTATTTCCAAATGCATTGGTGGGTGGATAAGTCAGTGAAGAATGATATCTCAAAACCAGATCATTCTAGGGCATTGAGTCAACATATAAATATATACAAGAAAATGCCGTTTAGATATTTATATGATTCAGTGAATTGTAACAAATTATTTCCAATTGGATAATGCTGGCTAAATTCAGGATGTCAGAGCTCTGGTGAAGAAAGTCTGCTTCTTTGTTCTTTGAGGAGGAAAAAAGGTGAAATGGTGCCCAGATGGTCTGAGGAGAGAGAGAAGGTTGGAGCTGCACTGAGAAGAGAGGCACGCTTCCCTTCAGGGAAGACGGGACTAAATGCCAAGGGATTCATAACAAAGGTGACCTGGGAGACCAGGCCTCACAGACCCACGG